TCTCCATACACACTGTTTTCAGTCTTTCTTACAATCACAGAACATGGTCTAGCAATCAGTATTGACTATCAAAACCTCTGAGAATTACCTACCATTTCTGCTTCCTCTCATTAAGTATACCATCTCTTGCATTTCTCTAACTTTTAACCTAATGGTACTTCTATAACTAGTTGGTCAAGAAAGAGCTGCATTATATAATGTTCCATCACTGCATAGAAATAAACTGTTTGGCAAAGTTATGCCAAGTGTTCATATAAAATTTACTATTAAATTGGTTCAAAAATTTTAAAAATAAAAATGGTTATTAAAAATCTGTTCTGCTGAAAGAGCCTACAAACTCTCACCCTAGAGAAGTATAAAATTCCATGCAGAGGAGACAGAGATGACGATTAACAGAAATGAACAAAAGCATCAGAAACATGCTAGTAAATGCTAGCTTATACATTCTGCTGTTCATATTAGATCTTTATCATTCATAAATAATGTATCTATACAATAAACCTGTATTTCAGCTTCCTACCCATAAGATTTAATACATTCTTTTTTTTACATATTTCCTATCTTCTAAGATGTTTTCTCACTTAATCGATGGTTTTCGAACTTCATTATCAGTGAAGCTCTTTGTTGCAATGAAATCTCACAGCAAACCCCAACATATAAAACAGTTAAAAGCAGAACTGCTCTGATAAAAGGGGGAAGGGTGCCCGTAGACACAGTTTGAAAATCACTGCTGTAAATCGTTCAAGAAAAGCTGAAGTAAAGATACAGCCAATTGGAATTTCTTCATTTCCAGTGATTATAAACCCCAATTTCCCCAATGGTTCTCATTTTTAAGAAAGTTTTTTGAGTACAGGTGCTTATACCTCAGCTCAATGGAATAAAAGCACAGTGTCTTACATGTAGTATTTAGGTACGTACTTAATGGTTTGAATCCTTATTTCCTTGTTTTATACTCAAAACTGTACAATTAATATAAGATGTAATCCCTTAACTTTAGATCATTAAAGTGATGTTTGAAAATATTCAACATGTGATAGAAAATTTCCTAAAAATTATCATTGCTTCATAATTGTAATTGCTTTAGTCAAGTCTAAACACTATCCAAAAGGCTCTTCAGAGTCTCACTCAAAAAAACAATAAAAAAAATCACTCTGTAGTTACTCTAAGAAGTATCTCCTGTGCAATGGTGCTATATTTTAGAATTTTTTTAAAAATTCTCATATATATCATCCTATATTTCAAACCTGATTTGGTCCAAAAGGCAAAGAAAAGAAGTTAGGTTAATTTTTACCTTTGTCAAGGCTTACATTAGAAAGATTTTATAAGAGGTAAAAAATAAAAACTTGTTTCTAAAATAAGCTCGTTTGTGTTTTTCAGGCTATTTCCTCAATCTATTTTATCAACCCCCTTCCATATAAATGGAAGGCCTTTAAACAGACTTTTTCATAAACATATATACCTTCTGTAACCAACTCTGTGCTTAGCTTTAGAAAAGGCACCCCTGTTCTTCTATGCTCCTCACTGGCTGGACCGGCAGTACTAGGTGTGAAATTCGGCTCCACAGCCCACTCAATTTGTCTGAGTCCATGTGGTTGAAGGAGCTGGGAGTGTCAGAGTTGGTAAACTTGGACCAGAGTAAATCTCTCACTTTTTCTTCAGTTTCCCTCGGGCCTACACTTGCTTCTAATGTTTCCTCCTCTAGCAGAACAGTGAGGACCAGGGCCACATCTTTAAAGGCAGCATTCTCATGATCACAATACTTGTAGAAGATCAAAGTGGAGCCGGCAGGAAAGGATTCGAAGTTGTGGACCACAGCAGCCTTCTGGCCATTCTCAAAGCCAGAGCTTAGCTCCAGGTCAACCAACAGCTTGACTGTATCACTGTCCTGCCAGGTTCTTCCAGCCCCGTGAATCTGAATGGGAGAGGCTTTCTGGGAAGAGGTGTAAGCATCAGCAACATGGTGGCTCAGGCACTTCAGGGTCTCCCTTCCCTCCCGAGCTGCTGTAAGTATGATGGTGGCTGGCTCCGTAGGGTTGGAAGCATTGAGGTGCTTCTGGAGAAACTTCTGTCCTCTCTGCCACAGGAAGGAACTCTGGCCTGGAAATTTATCTTTCAATTGGCTAAACTGGGCCAAAAAGGCCTCCAAAGCTGGATTTTTGGGCACTTGCTGGGCTGGAGAGAAATAGTAGCTATACACAGAAGGTAGCACAACAGCCCCAACCAGGAGGCAAAGAAAGACAGGGCCTGTCAAAAGAATGAGAAAAGAACAGAAAATTATAGAGAACACAAGTCAGAAACAAAGCCTGTGGTCAACTGAAGTGAGGCGGAGATACCGTCAGGTTTCACTAGGAGCAGTAAGTTTCCTTTGCATAAATTGTTTAACCTTTCACTCTACCAGAAGTACCTTTTCCCTAATCTCTTCTCAGATTTAATTATTTGAAGATATAATATCTTTGTTAAAAGATAAAAGCTTCATGTAAGAGTTAAGTATCAGTAAAAAATTTTTAAAAATAAATAAAAGGTAAAAGCTGAGTCTATGCATTTGTTGTTATAACTAATGATGTAATTTAGACATGAGTGATCGAGATTTTCTTCCATCTTCTCAAGGAACCTACACCTATAGCCGACCACTTTTTTAGGAGTCATAACTCTAAAATGACTAGTTAGAAAGGCAGTTTTTGTTTCTTGTTTAGGAAAAGCTTTTCCTACTGTGGGAATTTCCATTTTGTAAGCACACCAAAATATCAGCCAGCACCCTTAAGGGAAAAACCCCTAAAACACTATTGTTCTATTTTACTATGACTTACTACCAATCATTAAATAAGTATAATAAACACAATGTTAAAACTGTTTAAATCTGCTAGTTTTCTAAGCATTTTCTGAATGTGAATCAACACTGCAGTAAAACCAGGTTTGTTCTTACCATAGTTCCAAATATTCTTTTTATTAGTCTTTCTCATGGTGTCTTGTGCATTCTCTTTAATTTCTTCCAATTTGTGTGTTTGTTGTGGATGACTTCCAGCCTCTGAGGAGGAGGAGCAATCAATATTATTTGTAGGCAGTAAACTAATGACAGTATGTATACCTTTATAACTCTCACCAAACCAAAGAACGATTTGACTAAAAAGATTTATATACCTTGGCCAGGCACGGTGGCTCACACCTGTAATCCCAGCAATTTGGGAGTCCGAGGTTGGTGGATCACTTGGGGTCAGGAGTTCGAGACCAGCCTGGCCAACAAGGTGAAACCCTGTCTCTACTAAAAATACAAAAATTATCAGGGAATGGTGGCAGGCACCTGTAATCCCAGCTACTCAGGTGGCTGAGGCAGGAGAATTGCTTGAACCCAGGAGACGGAAGTTGCAGTGAGCAGAGATCACACCATTACACTCCGGCCTGGGGGACAGAGCAAGACTCCATCTCAAAAAAGAAAAACCAAAAAAACAAAAACCCAAAGTTAACACTTTTCCTGTCTTTTCTTTAAGACTATTACTTTTATTCTACTTAGAAGAATAAAATGAAATGCTGTGAAATTCATTCAAGGATAATATTGCTATATTCACAATTCCTCACTGCCTCTTACATCAAAGACAAAGAAAAAGAAACTTAAATACTGCGGCCAAAGTTATCTAAAATGTGATTCAACAAAATATATAAAATTAAGAAGGGATTTAAGAAACACTGGCTGTACACAAGTTTCAACATCACAGGGTAATTGTGCTCGAATTCCAGTGTTCGAGTTTTACATGGTTCCTCAAGACCCCAAATATAAAAATAACAGAGGCACTAAATTCTGAGATAGGAGATATTACTGGACAGTGGCAAAACAGCTTACAAAAGCAAATTTGAAACTCTTAGTCAAGGAGATATACAAAGCAAGGAATATAAGGTGAAGAAAATCCATGAACTATGTAAAAACCCAGGTGGAGGGTGGGCACACCAAGCTTAAAATATGTGGGTGAAAAGAAGGGCAACGCTTTACAGCACTCTAAGCTAAATCACACTAGAATCGAAATTTGTGCTTAATCCTGGCCAGTTACTTCTATTAGCACAGACGAGTAGGATCCTCTTCAATTATAAAGAGTTGTTCATATCACCCCAAAAAGTAGGTTCTTAAAATATCATATCATGGAATTTAAGAACTGAAAGGATCTATAACGGACACCTACTCCAGCCCCACTACTTAGCCTACCATGAAAAAAGGTCCAGGAATATTAAAGGTCTTGCCCAAGGTCACATAAAGAGATATAGTTGAGATGTTGAGATTAAAACACGGTTTCTCATCTCCTAGAGTATATACATACATACATACATACATATATATATATATACACACATATATATACATATACACACACACATATATATATATATACATGTATATATATATATAAAACCTCATTCAACTATATTAAGTTGCTTTCCATCCATAAACTGCGTTTCTTTTTTTTTTTTTTTT